TATACGGTGGCAAGGTTAGTGTTGCAATTCGAAATTTTGTTGTTTTCAGGTGTGATTCATTGCTAAGTTAACCTTTTTAGAGGAATATTTATTGTTTCTACCCATTCTCTATTTGCGAACATAGAGTTATTACAGGTCTTTGATCTTATCGGAAATAAGGCCATGTTACGGGTGCTAGAAGACGGTAAAAAAGAGGTTCAGGTGGTTGGATTACAGGAAGTGCCGGTTAACGATGAAGACGATGTTGGTATTTCCTGTTTTTAACTTAGTATTTTGAGTTGAACTGATCAGCATTTGAGTTTGAGTCAAACTGATTCTTGCGCAACATACTGAATGCAGCAGTCGCTCAAAAGTCATTAGTTGCATTTGCCAGAACTGTGCGCAGTTGCATCGTATAACACATACTATTTTAATAAATATTCATGTTTTCTAGATTAAATTATTCATGTTTTCTAGATTAAATTTTTTTGTAAAAAAATGATGACGTTTCCGGCGATGCTTATTTGAGGTGCTAGAATTGATAAAAAAGGGAACAGTAATACGGACAGCGGGCACAACTTCTGCTAACGCCAACTCATCTCGATCGCATGCTGTGTTTCAAATTATTCTACGTAAAAAGTAAATTTTCTTTTTTAGAACTAGAAAGATTTTCTTTCTGCTAATTACCTTTTAATCCGGCTAGAATATTCATGTTTGGTAACACTGCATCAACAATCATTCGATAGCGGCAGGGATTTTAATTAATATTCCTTCACACTATATGTTGTAACAGTATTTTATCGTGGTCAGAAAATAGAAAAAAATAGTCAAGATAGAGCAAAGTTGGGGAGAAAAAAACCCATAACAGGAAACAGATATTCCATCATATAATATATAATTTTGACCACATTTTTATTTCAGGACAGAGAAAGGATTAGGACGTATTTGGGGAAAATTTTCTTTGATTGATTTAGCGGGCAATGAGCGAGGAGTGGATACGATAAATACAGATCGACAAACTCGCATGGAAAGTTCAGAAATCAACAAATCTCTTCTAGCTCTCAAGGAATGTATAAGGTAAGTAAAAATGCGTGAAATTTCTTTTTCACATTTAAAGCTTATTCAGGTTGCAATACTTGTCAAATTATCGTGGTGATATCTGAGAAACGAAAGAAGTGAATTTAACTGGCCACTAGAAAAAATAATGTGACCTACGTAATAGATAAAATAAATCCTGAACAAAGGAAGCTGAAGGTGAGAGCGTTTGGAATAGCGATTTTCGACATGCGCTAACATCTTATCAATGCTGAGAATTATATAAAGAGGCCGATCAATGTAAATTTTTAATTTTTCTAGCCTTATTACGTGATTTCTAACTCATTTTTAACTGCACTTTTTCTGCTGTAGAGCAATGGGTCGAAATTCAACGCATGTTCCATTTCGAGCTTCCAAATTAACACTTGTCCTTCGTGACAGTTTCATTGGTTCAAATGCAAGGACGTGTATGGTGAGGCCTTTAAAAATTATTTCTACGTTTTTACAGTTGTCAGAATTTTCATGAACTATACTTGGTGCTGGGAACGTTTCTGTATATTTCTAACAATCTTATTGTGTTATAGATAGCGATGATTAGCCCTGGCATGTCTTGTTGCGAACATACTTTGAATACGTTACGATATGCTGACAGGTATCATTCACTTTTCACTTTCTTTATCACCATTTATCATTTACTTGTTTCTTTTTCTTCAGAGTGAAAGAATTAGGTGCTGAAGATGGATCAAATACACCAATGGAAGATGAAGAGCTTATGTTAAATAATATTGATGAAGGCTATGATATCCTACAGTCAAGAAATGTATGTGGTTTGATTTAATTAGAAACCAATACCTTTCGACTCTCGTCATAGAACCTTCCGTGCGAGTTTGTCTATCTCTATCTTACTCACACCACACTCCCTGTTAAACCAATTAAGGAGCAATTTCCCCATACACTTCCTAAAATAAAAACGTGGTCAGAATTATGACCATAAAAATATAAATCGTGATGGAGTATCTGTTTCTTGGCTTATGTGGATATCTTAACCTTCCCAATTTCCCTCCACCTCTACGCTTTCTTTTGCCTTTCAACTGCAATAAAAACCATTTCAATAAAAACATTTCTTCTGCCTTCCATCTGCAATAAAAACCTTCCGTTGGGATATATGTAGCGTGAGAAAATGTTAATTAGAACTTTAGTACCTGTCATAGGATTATCAACGTAATGTTGCCGAAACAAAATATTCCAACGAAATTAAAAGAAAATGAAATGAATCATAGGAAGTAGTAGGGAGGATACACCTTTACTTCTAAAAGATAGATCAAAATACAAAAGCTTTTTTTTTTAAAACTTTTCTAACGCCTTGAACTTTGTATTTTTAACTGTTTATGTGATTTACTTTTCATGAAGATGCTAAGGTTTATTTAGTTTTCTCAACTGCGTTTATTTCAAGACGCTGGAAAGTTTGTTATATTTTTCTGTTAAAAGTTGGACATTTGGAGGAGAAGGAGCAATCTAAAAACTCCATCCGTGAAAAATAAGTTATGAAAAAATAAGCAGAAATGAATCCGTTTATTGAGTTTTCTAGGTACCACTCTATCAGTATTTCATTTTCCTCATGATTTGTAAATATGGAATCGTAGGGATTTAGGGTACTATTATTTTAAGAATATTATTTAGAAATAGAAATAGGTTTTAAGTTCTTTTCTCGTTATCAAAATTTTAGGAGCTAAACGATGAAAGATATCGATTGCAGAGAACATTGCAAAATATATCTCTAGCGGAAGAAAAGTCTTGTAACGAATTAACCACATTATATGAAGTAAGTCAAGTTCTTCATATTAAAAACTTGTTAATTGGTAGTTTCTTGTATGGCACCGATGTTGGTAGGGGCTTCTTTTTTTTACTTTTATCATTAATATTCAGGAGCACTGCAGCACTGCAACACGGTATCTTTTTTAGGATATGGAGAGAACAAAAGCGGAAATGGCATTGTTGTTGAAACGACCTAGTAAAGTGGATTATGATATTGATGCTTTTGCTACCGATTTGCAAAATTTTGCCCGTGAGCAGCGTGATAGATATATACGTTTATATGGTTAGCCGTATTTCTTTGCCGTCCTACCTTATTTTTCCTCTTAATTTCCTTACCTCAATAAAAAAAAGTGGCAATACTACTGTTGCTCAAGTTTTTGAAGTTACTTTTGTAAACACAGTCCGTGATGGATAAGGATGTTGAACCATGAATGATGCACTAAGTTGAAATGATGCGAAGTCTTCAACGCGGGAAAATTGTTTTTTGTTTTCATATATTCGTGGTTTAATGGAAGAATTATCACTTCAAGTTTTGAAACTTGTTAAAGTTCCAGTTAGTGAATCTACAGTTTTACTTTATATCACAAAAAAATAACGGAAATGAATTATAGAGTTATAATTTTAGATAATGCCAAATGTCTAGTGTCAGAACTTGGCAAAGAATCAGAGATTAGTAAAAAGCAAACAAATCATAAGCGACACTGAATCCGATGGATGTAATTTCTCGAAGTGAATAATTCGGCTATCATAAACTTACCGCTTATTGGTTTCTATATTCATTCCAGTAGTTATTGTGTTTGTTAAAATTTAAGAGAAATATCTTACAATATTTTTTATGCTTTATTTGTTCATGTAAAGACTTCGTATATTTCGTGTAAAATTTAAACTGTGATTATTTGTTTATTACTCTTTACATTTTTTTGTGAAATTTCTGCTCACAAGTTCATGCATTGTAATTTTTTCTTGTGTATCATGTTTATGCTTTGAATAGCTTTAGCTTGAATTTTCTTTAAAGCTTAGGAAAAATACTCCATTGGTTAGTGGGGATATTAGATATTAAAATTTTCCAGATTTTTCCGGATCCGAAAAGTCATTCTATGCTGCAGAAAGTTGTGTATAAATCTAGGGATATCCTCGATGAATAATCCCACGGGAGTTCATCATATATACCTTTACCGTATATGATCAATTCAAAAGCTTGGTTTGTGGCACTAGAATGCAAGTTTCATGTTTGAATTCTCCATGTTAATGTGCAGAAATTTAGGGATGAGAAAATTCTTCCATAAAATACCTTGGAGTCTAAATTTAATTGTGACTATGAGTAATGAAGGCTTGTAGGACGGTCAAGTTCGTGACTTTTTCTCACGCTTCATCATGGCATAATTTTCTGCTTCTGTTATGAAGTAGTTATTTTCCAGGTTTTACATCCGTTACAAAATTTCCTGCTTCATTACTGCGAACATATGTTTGGTTCAAGTTTTTATGAGAGGATATTTGGAACCCGAGGATTTCCAAGTATTGGTGTTGATGACTGCTACATGTAATGCAAATTCCTTTTGAGTATAATAATGCAGACTCCAATATCACGAAGTAGCAGTGCATTACTTTCGGAAGAATATGTGTTTGAAAACGTATATGTTTAGTTTGGTAGAGTTGAGAAGAGGTAAAGTATTTCAGAGACAGAGACTTCAAAGAATTAAGTGCTTCTCATTATTTGTGATTGTCATTTACTAATGTCTTTTATTCTCGTGAATTATGAAATGCTTTACGTGTAAAATTGAATCTGAATTTACCTTGTGCTCGAACTAACAGCAAATTGTAGCAAATTTCCATGAATGCTAATGGTTACTTGTAAAAAAAATGTTCAGAAATAACTTGGGGTGTTCAGTTATTTATGATGAATAATATCTTGAAATTACGTTGGGAACTGCATGGGTTGTCAGCCATATGAAGAGGTGTGATAGTCTCCTGATTCACATAACCTGAGGTTGTTTGAAAAAGGAAAAGAAAAATCTCTGAAACTGTTTTAGAGACAAGCACATATGTGGAAGTTAAGAGAAGTAGATTTTGGATTCGCATAGTTAAGAAATAATGGCTTCTATTTTGGTTTTGTTTCGGTACTGATTTTAGAACTGATCATTTAAAGATATTAATGCCTTCTATGATTTCACAGGATGATATAAACCTAGGCATGGACCGATCGGACCATTCGCTGAAATCATTAGCAGCATCACTGAATAAAACCCATTCTCAGCAGCAGGAGCCAAGTATTTCTGTAACTTTCAAAAATAAAAATCCTGCAGATGAATTGCGTCCAGGTAAGCTCAGCTTCAAATTTCATTCTCTGTTGCGTGTAGGACTTGGCAATTGCGATTTTCAGTCCACACATTGCAATGTAAAAGTTCTAGGAAGGCATCGCTGTGATTGTCAAGCTAGAACGCATAAGTTGATTCGGAATTGCATGAGCTGTGGACGTGTAGTATGCGAGCAGGAGGGCAGTGGACCTTGTATGTTCTGTGGTGAACTTGTCTGCACTCGAGAAGAACGGAAAGTAAGTTCTTGTCGACAGTTATCTTTGGCAATATTAATTTGTATTTCGATTGCGACGTTTCTTTATAATTACTTTACTTGTGGCCTTGATTATTCCTTAATGGTCATAGCGATTTTTTTATAGCCTTGAATCATTTTCAACAGTCTCCAAAATACTGTAGTGTAGAGATCATTTCTAGAAAGTTTACTAAACATCGTCATGTAAGAGACTGTGTAAATTTGATATACCATTTGTTCTGACTTCGTACGGTTGAAGAACAAGTACATTTTGAATTTTTTTACCTTACTGTCTACGTCAATTAAATATAAGAAACTATTTGAATAAATTTGATTTAACTACCAGCATTATTCATTGAAATCATTTCAGCTTTTAAATCAGCAGTCAAGAAAATCAGTTGAGCTTTACTATAGATTAATGGGATGTGAAGATGACAAAACTGTTGGTGGCGGAGTGTTTTCCCTGGCATCAGTCGGGAGTGCGTTAGCAAAAGCTGAGCAATATAAAAATAAATTACTGGCTGCAGATTCTAACACGTTGGACCATTCATATATTTTAAATTTAAAATGTGCTATCATGGAAAAAGTTTTTTCGGGAGTACATATTTGTTGATAAAAATTAGTTCCATTTGTGGAAAAGCTTTTTTGGGTACGAATTTTTTAAAGTGAGCAATCAGTTGAGCGATTTTAGAGAAATGAAAACGCGCATTCATGACTTGGAATCGGATTATTATAACATGGAAAATAACATATATTTGACAAAAGCGGTTAGTGCTGTTCCTCATTGGGATTGCTAGGACTATTCGGTCTTGGATATTTTGCATCTTTCGATGATGACCTATATTGCGCCTGACTTGACTTTGGTGAATAGATCTTTTGAGCAAAAGAAATAATACCAGTTTCGTTTAATTTATTGCGTTAATTAAGTAAATTAGATTGTTTGATTTGCTCGCATATGTGAATTAAGTAAAATTAACTAAACTCACATATGTGAGCAGATCAAGCTATTCTGTAAAATCCCTTTGTAAAGAATTTATATGTAAGTGGATCAAGCTATCCGAGTTACTTAATTTAAGCTGTCAATCTTTATAAACTATCTGTCAGAGAACAATAAAACTTTACAGGAACGAGAAGCTATACTGAATCGTAAAGAAGAATTAAAAGAATTGAGAATGCGACAACGACGAGCTCTTGTTATGGACTTCGATTTGGAGGAAACTAGTGTTTTCGAAGTAAGGTTTCAAAATATATTTGGTTCATAGCTAATATATTATGAATGATGGATTCATTTATTCACTGATTATTGTTTCGTAGTGACTTGAAGTTTCTCCACCAAAGCTTCATATTGTGCTGAGAATGGATTGTTGTTTTCGTAAGACTCTAAAGGCATCTTATGCATATAAGTTGCATATACATTACATAAATTTATGCATATGTGTTAAATTATGCATACTCTTATGCATAAGTTATGTAAATTTGATGCCATAGTAGTTGCGCTTCCGGACAGGTAGATTTCAAATCAACATAGATAAACTTGAACACAGCTCTATTTGCTAAGCTAATAAGGATAGAAAAAAGAAAAAAAACATCATGTTAGCAGAGGAAGTTTATCTCTCACTCTTCTTTTATTGGTGGTTAGCTGAGAACTTTATATTTTATTTATTTCCTTTATATTATTGTGTCGTTACACAATTTATGACAGGAATAATGAAAGCAGAAGATGCATTTGCATTTAATCGTGTAATAATATAAGCTGGATTAAAAAAGAATAAACAAATGAATAGATTAATTGTTCAGCTTCAGAATATTTCTTATCTTATGAGAATCGTCTTCGACGTAACGGCAGATCTTCGTTGTATTTTTATCTGAATTATGATAATTCTCTTTTATTATTAAATATTGTGTTTCAAATATTAATTTCAGACCAAAAGTAAGCATGAGGACACACATGATCCAGTTATCGAGTCAATTTTGTTGTCTTCCAGAAGACGACAACAAACTGAAGCATCAAAACCTATAGCGAAATGGGCTCCGGATGGATTTGTACTAAAGGTTCGTTTTGTCTTTCTTTTTCAAGCATGAGACTTTGAGAAAAAAGTTTAATAGGAAAATTTCTTTTCCATCTACTTGTAAATTAATTAGAGCAGAGTCGATTTCCAGTGGCGACAAATTTTTACGATGATTAGAATTTGAAAAAAAGATGTATATAACAAAATCAGTTCCTCTGAGAAATAGGAATCGTGAGTTGAAAAGTCATTTGTCTTCACAATGAAATTTGTTTTTACTTTCTCATAAAAGAGATTCCTTGCATCCTTTGAATAACTCGGATTTGATTTGATATAAAAATTATCAATGCACATAATGCTTGAAGAGAACCAAATTTTTACTTGTTCAGTATAATAGCCAAAATAAATGCAAAAACAATCATGAACATGATGACGAAAATGACAGAGAAATGGAAGACGTAGCATTTATGATGTTAAGTGATGAAATGATATATATGGAAGTGGCAAGAAAAGGTTATTCGATGGGTATTGTTCAGCCTATTGCAACACTGCTAGCTTATGGATTTCGAAGGTTCATTATATCACCTTGTTTGCAGTCATATGTTTTCCATAAAGGTTTGAGGACGATTCTATCGGCGAATTTGACTATAGTTTAATAAAGGATACTATAATATGATTTTTAAGCTTTATGGTAAATCCATAACGATGATAGGTATGACGGCTGTGCAGCTAGCATCAAACGAATGAACCAATGTAAATCAAAGCAAGGCTTTGCAGGCATCTTCCATGGAATGAAGATGTTGACATTAGAGGACCAATAATTATTGCTTCTAAAGGCAAAACTGTTTCGAGAAATGAAATTGAAAAAGAAATCTCACGCTTTTGGCATTCGCTTCTAAATAGTAAGTATTCTTCTAAATACCAAATAAATTAAAAAAGAGTTACATCATCGTTTTGTAAAAGCCTGCTTTGTTCTTAACTTAAATTTTTAAAAGTAATTTGTAAAGTTTCTGTAACTTTTTCGCCTACTTGTTTTTTTTTGCTTTTTTTATGTTAATAGAAAAATTAAATTTCTAGATAATGGAAAAAGGCGTAAACTTCCATCAGAATTTCCTTCGGGTGCAATTGTGGGTCGCGCATTGCTTACTGATTGTTTGTCGATGGAAGAATATGACAAGAAGGTAACATTAATTGATAATTACTTCAAGATATTTTTTTTTCATTATTTTAATCAAATAACATTTTTGCTGCATTGGGCTTTTTGTGATTTAGAGTCTTGATAAAAGAAATTGTAGCGTGGGCCGATTTCGTAAGGCCATTCTAGATTTTTAGAATTCTTGAGAAAAATTACAACATGCAACGATATTAACATAATATTTACATAAATTGATGATGAGCTCGGTTGTAAAATGGTTGAAGTTCTAGTTATTAGTAGAATGTTGGGCATCCGACAAGTAAGGATTTTTGAGCGTTTTCTTTATTTTGATTAGAAAAAGTTTAGACATCTTAATTCCCTCAGCAGTGTTGATTTCGTTCGACAATTCGATTTCAAGCTATTTTTATATTTAATTTAGTACACTAAAAATGGGAAATAGAATTGTCGATAGATATGTTCTAAGCTATTAATAAGAACGTAAATAAAACTCATTCAGTCCAATAAGTATACTTGGTTCTGTTTTTGATCTTACATTATTCAACTAAAAATGCAATCATGTTATATTGCAGTATTTGAACAAGGAATGCTCTGGTACTGAAGGATCTTATGTGCTTATATTCGATGTTTTTGAACCATTGCTTATCCCTATCCCTCACGTTCCTCTTTCTGATGGTATTTATCAAGTTGACAAGCAGTTACTGACTGCTATAAAACAAATCCTCGAACCGGTATCCTTCTCTTGAGTGATTTTTTGTTAGGTTGAAATTATGGTTGTAGCACAGCACGCAGACTCAGAAAAGTCACTTGTGTTTATTACTTTGTATAGTCAGTAAATCCTAGGAGTGTATAATCAGTGAGTCCTAGGACTGAATCTTGGATATTCGTTTTCACTTATTGTAGGCTAGCATTGAGAATCCCATCGTATTTGCTTGTTTTAAATTCTGTTTGAATATGCCGTGACCCAGCATGGGTCCAATTATTTCAAGGTCCTGTTTTTATTGTTACTCAGATGTAATTCAAGTTGATTATTTTGATTTGATGGGCAGAGAAATATGATAATGAATGCATCTGCATCAGCAACAGAAAATATGAATTATTCGAAATGCACCTCAGTTACTATTATCTCTTCCAAGTTTTTACTCGATATTGCTATAGCCAACACAATCGAAACCAAATGAGCTAATTTAATAAGTTTAAAAGTAATTTATGTTGGTGGTTCTAATATAATTAGCAGGAACTGAAGTAATGGTTCTCAACCTCTCAACCTATTACCAGAGACTTTGACTTTTTTATTTGCAGCATGGAGTGTTCAAAAATTGTAAATCCTGCTATGGAAATATACTTTAATCAAGACTTTGAACCTGTTGATTTAACTTTGAGTAGCATCACAAAAAGAAGGGAGAAACATAATTTTTAATAGCCATCGCGGTCCAAGTTTTAGTGCTCGTGGACCACTGGTCTGGAACCGCTAAAATAAAGCGTGAGAGAAACTTTGTACCTGATAAGTGATTTGAATGATTTGAGTCACAATAAATGACTTGGGCCTAGTTTCTTGATAAAGGTGATTTTGCAAGAAGTAACGGAGATTTGGGGCTCATAAACTGTTCTTTTTTCAAATTTATTCTTCGTTGAAATGGTTTCGTTGATCTCTGGATAACTCTTTCATCTCTCGATTTCTGTGTCAGCAGTTTTTCCTAGCTTTGAAATTTCTTTTGGATGGTGTTGCAGGAATTCCATTTGATCCATCATTTTTCAAAAAATGAACTTGACAAGATCACTAACCCTAACATGATCATTTTAATGGGTTATTAGTAGACATAAGTTTAGGACATGCATTTCAATTTTCATGAATCCTATGGCTCATGTGTTTTCTTTTTCAAAAGCAAAATATTCAATCAAATCTCGTGTTTTCATTTCTTCTCATTATTTTTACTGTGCAAATTAATTTGTTTTCCGGTGCATCTGTTAAGAATATGAAGTTACAAATAACCGAAGGTCATAACACGATCAACGCATAAGTTGAGAGGAATTTTTTGAATCCTCTCCCAAATTGTGACCTTCGATTGGAAAAAAGTGAACAAAAGAATCATGTAGCAAAAAGTTTTGTATCCATCACCTTCTCTGTTTTAGTTCGAGGTAAAATGAGAAGGAAGTAAAAGCTGTGATTAATTGTGCCGTCCATCTCTGGAAGTTATTCCTCCTCTAAAGGGGACGTCTTCCATCGTGCTCGAATTCAACCTCATCCGCATTATCATAGATAACGATGAAGTGGTTTCATGTCTATCACTCTTGGTGGTATATTATGTTGGATTTCGAACTCTGAAGTCGTGAATGGGCTTCCTGATTTGATGAAGGAAGTTCAGTGATTCTTCCTGTTTCTACATTTATGTCCATTATACGGTTGCAAGTTATGAGGAGCGTACTGCAATGATTTTTGTCGCACAACTTTTAGATATTTCCGATTGAAATGGCAGAGTAGCATGGCTCAGATAGGTCGTATCGGCTGTAGCTCTCTATATCTTCAATTACTGTTCGCTGTCATTTCAGTTGCAAACCTAAAAATTATTATGTTCGATTTACCCGTCGTCGAAATAATTTCGACAAAGTGCAATGTTTTGACAGTAACATTTTTCACAACGTGTCATCATACTTCGAAATTTTTCTCTGGATTTAAGAAATTCCAGGATAGTAATCGTTTAGTTATAGCCTAGATGCCTTGGAAAGTGTAAACATTTAAAAATATATGTTGTGATAGCATGGATATAATCTGTCAATATCGTTGTTGGATGTTTATCTGATCTCACAGCGTTCTTCAGAAACGTTCTGTATGAAAAGCAGAAAAGAAAAGATGATAGTTTCTTAAGGTCTTCTCTTCCTTTGGCTTGTTTCTTGAAAAATTTAGGGTCATAAGTACTTTTAATGGGAAGAGTTTTAAAAGGAAGAAAGTCGAATATTATTAGTAATCGATAATGTGAACATGCGCTGAAAACTATACTATCTTTAACTTCTAAAACGATAATGGATAAAGATTGATTTTAGGGTGCAGTAGTGAAAGGAAAAGAAATGCCTGCTTGGAGCCGACATCTCGGGCTTGATGACGCTGAGGTAGGGATGATGTACTACTAATTTGCTTGGATGGCATGAGTGTGTTCAGTATAAATCTTCATGTGGTGGGAAGTTAAGGGAAATCAGATGTTCGCATAAAATGTTCGTGTTTGATTTATTAACGAACCTTGAGGATTGCAATTTGTCAAAGACATGATGATCGGGTCATTAGAAGTATAGGAGCTTATTTACCATTCACTGTTTATAAATCTGTATATGTATGTATATACTGTCTGTACCTGACACTTCTAAGCCAGCACTATTCATGGTAGAGATCGAGCCCATAATAGTCTTGCTGGAAATTCAGTGAATAAAAGGAACTCCATGAAGTGATACGTATATTAGAATATCATCGGGTAATACAGATAATTTGGTTGTCGAGCTTATTTTTTCAGCTTTATCGTGCTTCAGTTCATGGTTCATGGTCCATTTATCACGACCTTATGATCGTGATTGGCATCGTTTTATTTCATTTGTGGAAGAAAATTGTGATGTATTCAAGTTTTTCTTTTTGTTTTTTTTTTTTTTTTATTCTTAGGATTAATTTAACTATCTTCATAGGCGGAGAAGGTTGAGAAACGTGGAAGGTATATTGCTGTAAGAACATTGGTTGGTGCTGCCGTGTACCCGTTAACACATGTAAAAATTCTCTTCCAGCTTGGTTATGAACCATTTCCTTTAGCACCTGGAAAATTCTTATGGTTCTTCCGCGAAGCTTATTTTCTTCCAAATGGTTTCAAATATGGTATGCATTTTTATCGTATCCTGTTGCCGTTTATGTTTTGCTTGTGTTTCGAAAGTCAAGCTGCTTTGGTGTTAACTTATATAGTCTTAATAATCTGCTGACTTCTGTTGGAGATTTATCTCTCAACTTCCAGTTACTGCTTGAGTCATCAGCAGTCTGGGTATAATTGCTCATCGTTGAGGTAGACTGTTATTTAATAATCGGATTTTGTTTAATTTTAGCCAAGAAAATATACAACCGTTTCGGACTACGCAAACTCTATGCAGGCATCGATGCTTCTATAGTTTCCCAGTTTACTTCCGGGTGTATTGATCTTGCAACGAATGTTGTTAGTTTTTGTTGTGATATAAATAAATCTAATACAAAAATCGTCTCTAGAGACCAACCGAAATATAATAGGAAATAAGTGAAATAAGTGATGAAAAATTATACGGGGATTACTTTTTATCATGATTCAATGTGGCTGGGGACCAAAGTGATCTTAATATGTATTTAAAATTACATAAGAATATGGTGATAAATAACATTCTAACATAGCCAAAGTTGTATTTCGATTATTACACATATGTTGAATCGCTATTAAATTCGTTGGGAAGAGATTGACACGACGAGGTTGACATGAGACGAAGTTATGCGAACATTTATTCCATCGTAGCTAAATATTTGAACTAAACAGGGAGAGGACTTCGTATCTAACAACATATTAGTTTTGTTAGATTGGAAATTGAAGTTTTTTTTACCTGGACTTTTATTTCACCGCTTGTTTTTAATGCAAACAGCTCCATGCAGCTATACTGGTGGATGTAACCTTCATTTTTACAGTACATGGATCGTCATTATTCCGAAATTGGTGGAAAACCAATTAACCTTGACAAAGAAGAATCAGAGATGAGTGATACAGAAAGTGTGCGTCGTGTCTTACGTTTCGCTATGCGTGAAAGTATTTCTCGTACTGTTGCCGTCATTTTTTCACGCCCATTTACTGGTGCTCATTTTTTCTCAATTTGTAGTTCATTGGAAGTACTTAAATATCTAGAACATAGTTTATGATCGCTATGAGAAAATATCTAAGGATCTAAAGATTTCAGTGATTATGATCAGGCAGATAGCGCAAATTGTGGGTGGTGAACTCAAGTATCATAATGTGTTATCCTCCTTACGATTAGTCGGCGTTGAAGAGGGTCCGAAAGGATTGTTTTCGTTAGTTTCCAATATTTGCTTGATTTTAATGAAGGTTATATTTTAGATGTATGTTTCAAAATGTTGTTTTGGTAACTTTTTAACCAAGTTTGCGTTTGCACCCTAAATTGCTTTCTATAATTATTCAAATGTTTATGTCATTCCAGAGGTTTGATTCCGCAACTGATTGCGGAATATTTATCAATATGGGGTATACATTTTGTACTTTTTGGTATTGAACGTATTACATTGCGTGCTCAGCAAGATGCCATTGTAAGTTGATGTTACTGAACATGTTATGTCCGAATTTTAGTTGTTCGTAATTCGTGGCTGTTTAATTGAGAATGGACTTTCGACTTCCTTTTCAATTCTCCTGGATCTTAGTAGACAGTATTGTTCGAGTTGCTTGATAGTAGATATTAAGGCTTACTTTAGGACTTTCCGTTTATTTGCCATGCTAACAGTCATATTACGTAAATCCAAAGTTGCAGCGTTCTAATAACAAGGAAGAAGAGAATTTCGTTGTTTCGACACGCAAAATGCTACATTTGATTGCACCAGTATTTGTGAACAGTTTCACATATCCATTCCAGGTGGTGTCAACAGTGATGGCAGTTGCGGGTTCGGGGTAAAAAAGTTTTTTTGCAATTTTTTTACATTTCAGTCAAGAAAAATAAGATAGGAAATGCTCGATCTCAGCTCTTCCGGTGATTTCCGTTGTTCATAATAGTATAAATCAATATGTACCGTTTAATCCATGCGTTGCTTATCTACTGGTGCTCGCCATCGCGTGATCTTCACTAATCCATGCAATGAAAAATATTTTTGGCTTCTGGAAGCTTTACCGCTTTAACATTATATTATTTTTCATGAATTTTTCATTTACTGCAGACTCGTCGTTTCGATGTTGCCATATAGTCCGCCGTTTGCGATGTGGCAGGATGCTTATGATTATCTGTTGCCAGTTAACGGATTAAAACGAGGCTCGAGAATATTTTGGCGCGAGCATAGTGGAGCTGTTAGCGTGGGTCCTGATCAAGAGCTTTATGCCGCCAATAAGTATTTCGTGTATGTTATTATTTTTCGTTCACACTTATTACTTTTATGGATTTTATGAAAATGGCCGGGATTTTTCTTTGCCATTATTCTCTTAGGGCAGAGAAATCTCCTTTTAACAATGCTGATCAACATCACATTAGATTTTGTATTCACGAAATCTCTCCTTACCGTTAGTGTTTCAGCGCAGTAGTTACTATTGGAAGCAAAATACTGGTATGGGTTTAAGAGGGTAGTCCGACTAGATTTTAATGACTGGAATAATGAGTCTATGATTTGATTGGTTAGAGAAAAGTGTTGTAGATACTAGTGAGTAGCAGGCAATTAATATCATTTTTTTCAGCTGATGAAAAGATCGACAGGTGCCACAGTTTTCTAAAATTTGTGCGATATTTCCTTTATGTTTATACTGCAGCATTTATTATTAGGTATACTTACTGTCAGTGAATAATGTTGGCTGTTTTTTTTTGAAATTGTAGGAGCTTAAGATGCTGCTGGTGATAGATTTTTGTTTAGATTTTTATTCACAAAAAAATCCACATGCTCACTTCTTTGCTGTGTTCAGTTTCTGTGGTAAGATTTTTAAGTAATAAAGATGAAAACACTTCGTATATTTCAATTATCCGTTGACGATGAGTTGTTGCGATAAACGATAAATGATAACGAGATCAAATAGTGGTTTTACTGAAAAAAAAAAAAGCAAAGAAAGCTTCGAAGAAGTTAACCATCCTTTGATTTTCAAAAATATGAGCAGTTAGTGGTCTCTGTTTGGGACCAACATGTGACAATTCCTTTTTCTAAAAGGTGCATTCATGCTATACGCTCGTGCCACTGATATGGATATTGTGAGATTTACATCTTCGTGTCGCAATGTAATATAAGACATAGCACTTCAGTGAAATTCAGAGTAGGTTGTTTTTTCCTTTTCCCAACCCTTCTTCCCTTCCAATTTGCAAATATTGATTTCACTATCGTTTTCTATTCCGGTTTTCACTATTGGATTTTTTCATGATGTGGATAAAAACACCACATGAATTTCCAGGAACATACATTGTATATGTTGTGTATTACGGTTCATTACCAGATAATTTGCCCTGTTGTCTTACAGTATCTGGTTTTTACCAACGTGGGAATTTGAATGTTTTCTTTGGAATTTGGGTTTTATACAATATTTCTAAAGTCACGATTTGTTGTTATGATGCTACATCAGTAAGGCTGTTGTGCGGTTGTGTTTTCCTAGTGCCGAACAATAAAGCGATGTTTTTGGGTCGTGAAAATAAGAATCAAAATACTTCCGAGTTTATTTCTGCAAAATCTTGTAAATATATAAGCTATCATCAACGTGATACATTACTGGTGCCTGGACTCCATTTTTTTCATTAGTCCTAAGAAAAGAGGGGGATGAAATGGTAAAAAATGAGATGAGAAAAAATTAAAAAGTAAAGGTAATAGAAAGAGAATGAAAAATAAGAAAAAACAAAAAAAAAAAGGTGCTTTGTGCAAGTAAATTTGGAGGAACGATAACTTGAAGGGAATAAGGCGTTTGTAAGGGTTATCAAACAGATTAAGTCGACGGTGATTATCGTGAATTCTGCGAAGAGATTTCATAGCACGAACGACGGGAAATCTTTTGGTGGAAATTTGGAGTGGGGATTCAGCGGAAATAAAAGCAGCAAAAATAAGATCCAAGTATCATTTGCAAAATACTGAAGTGTTATCAACAAGACCGCTCAGGTAGAAGTGCGGATTGTTTAATGGCCATGTCAATACAAGAAACACATTCATACAGAAGTTTGAATGACGATTCGGTGTTATCAATGAGCAGTGCTGCTGGTTTGTACCATTCTTTCTGGTCCTCATTGCAGACACGGAACAACATTTTGTTTGTTGCTTTTACTTTGATTAAATTTTCCAGTTTAACTCTTCAAGTTTTGCGCAAATGAGCAGTGAGAAGTGTCGTATTAAGCAAGGAACAGCGCAATAATTTAAGATTTGCTGAAGATTTTCTTGATCAATATGAAATTCAGGATAATTTAAGGAAATTTAAACGACTACCGCAATATCATATGAGAAATCCATGATGGTAGGAGTATTGAGCTGTAAGGGCAATTAATAAGAAAGAACTCATTTACTCATTAAATGATTCAATAAATTAAGTGCTGTTTTGGAAGAAGTTATTCGAAATTCTTGGAAAATTGCGTAGAAGCTGTGCGCAGAATCTTTTCAGGCATCACTCATGAACCAAGTATGAATAGCACCATCGATAGCTCGACAAATTCAAGTACCAAATTATCATCATTTTTAACACAGAACGCGCATGAAGAGCTCGATTCAAAACCATATTATTCTTCAGTAGAGGTATGTTGTTTCCAAGTGATATAAAAGTTTTAAAGTATTGCATACGGAATGAAATTACGCCTTTCAATCTTTATGAAAGAGATTAGAATTGGAGACAACTCAGTTCTATGGAACTAAGTGATGGTAATTTCAGTCATCATGCAAGAACTATTCTTTTAGGGAATGGATATTACACAAAGTGATGCTTATGATATTTTTGCAAACAAGTTGGTGAAGCATTTAATTGAAAATCTACGAGCTAAGTATCTCCATGAAGGTCTTTTATCATCATTCCACTTATTTTCACTAAAAATGACAAATTTTGCATATTTATGTTGGTGCATCGATGTAAGAAGGAAATAGATTGGCAAGCTCTTATGGATGAGAAACTTAATTTAACAATAATAAAATTCGCTTATTAGCAATTAACTTTCGATATTTAGATGATAGAATGTAGTTGCAGATTATGCTCGGGTGATTCTTATGAGACGTGGGGAAACTGTTTCGGAAGTATTCACGAATTGGACGGTGAACGCCTTTGACGATTCGAACCTCTACGTGTCATGATTTTTAAATCAAAATGATTATATATTTTTAAAATTCGGACTAAGTCACACAAATACTTTCCGTGGGAAAAGATTATTAAGATTAATTTAATTGAAGTAGTTCTTAAATAATGTGGAATAGATTTTTCTCCCTCCTTTTTTTCACTACAGCTTTATCAGTGTTACTGCTTTTAGAAACCACTTGTCAATCAAGAAAAAAAAAAAACATTATTGAACCAAGGACGTCATTTAACAGATCACAATCGTAGCTTCTAAAACCCATCTAGTGACTTTCAGTTCACTAATTAAAGATAGAAAGTGACGCAGTATGGCAAAAGTAAACATGGGCACTTAAAATTGCTTACTAATTTGTCTAATTATTATAATTAGTATGCAAGTGTAACTGAAAGTGGCGCAGTATGGCGAAAGTAAACATGGGCACTTAAAATTGCTTACTAATTCGTCTAATTATTATAATTAGTATGCAAGTGTAACTTAGTCTTTCTGATCGGTGATTTTAAAAGGCCCACGAGTTGCTGATTTCTACATTTTAGCATAGTGAAAGATGGTTTCCCCCTCCGCTTCGCTCCTCTCCTTACTGATTTGATGTGATTCTTAATTTTAAAAATAGAGTTGCACTAATGAAGTCTTTTTCCAGGCCATACGATCTCAACATGCCTTATACTTTACGAAGACGTGAAAGGCATAGTGATTTCTTGGTGATTTTTCTTGAAGCTCAACTAAAATTTCCCGCTGTTTATTACAATTATTATAATTAGCAACTAGCAGAAACTTAGCCTCATTAATTGATAATTTTAATTAAGAACTGGTAAATACTCAGAATTTTACGGATAATTCAATTTTCGATTTATTAATCGGTAATCAGTTTTATAGTCCAACGACTCAGTAATTTAATTTCAAAGTACACCACTTACGAACTGGACGTTGCTGAGCATTTCTTTTGTATTCGAATATAATTCTAACTATTATTCTTTTTTGCGGAATTCCGAAACTGAATTGAAACTGTGTTGAAGGTCGACCCACCATTAACGAACATCAGCGCACATTTCGCAGCCGAAATTGGTTGTACAATGACTCAAAACTTGCCGATAGTAGTTTATTCAGGACCAGAAATGGCAGTGCTACAAACTGCTCGACAATTTATAGGTGGTGCTCAAATCGATATGAACTGGTTGATCGAGCCAGGACTTGTGAGATACTTCTCATCTCATGAATCGAGACCAAGTAATTGCCAATCATCAAATAAAAAAGCTTATCTTACAAAGTCTGTCATTGTTAATCAAGTGCTAGTTACTTTTCCAGCAAAAAAAGTACAAAATATGAAAGAGACGGTTACTAAAGTGTGATAGTATCAACAAGAACATGCAATCAGAAGTATCATACTCTCTCCTATTCTTATTTGACCTTTACTTTCCATTCGGATGATTTCAATTTCAAAATTTTATTTGGGCAAATACATCAGCTAACACTATATTGATTTCTATTCTTTTTTCGGATATTTCCTGGATAAAATTAATTCTCTAGAACAGAGCACAATATATTGGTCTAAAAAATTTCATAATACAACAATTTTTTTTATTTTTGAAATGATTGAATGATGATCTTTATTTCTATCTACTCTTATGAGACTTATTATTCATTCTAACAACGCTAAAGATTACTAACCATCTAAATATTTTATAGTTTTTACT